GGCACCCCCCACGGGGGAGAAGCCCTCCTCCTTGCCGCTTTCCTGCAATATTTCAGCATATCTCTGTTGCCCCTCTCCACTTGGGCTTTGAGGTCCGTATCGATTGGGGGCGGCATTTCTCCGCGATCATCTCGCAAAGCTCCTTCTCGTGCCCTTCTAGGTTCATCGGTTTCGCTGCCGCCCCCCCCCCCCCCATCGCGGGGGCGTTTGCCCAGTTCTTGGAGCCCCTCCCCCGCGCCCCAACATGTCCGAGCTGAGAAATAGCAGTGTTTTCTGGTCCTGTGCGTATCGCTGAAGGTATTGTTCTCGAACGCCCCATATTTCTTCTGTCAGCTTCTGTGTCCGCGCCACTTCCAAGTCTGTCCTGCGTCTGCGTAGCACATGGTGTATCTGCACCAGCTTCTTCTTGATGTCCTCCAATCTCTCCTGCGTGTCAGACTCTACCATGTTCACTCTTAACGTTCATCCTTTCTGCCCGTAGGGAATGTCGCAGTAACTGGAAGGCAGCTACCCCTTTGTCCTCCTGCTTCCTCTTGATTGGGAGTACTTCTTCCATGGCATTCCTGCCCGCTTCGCCAAATTTCTTCCACATCTGGTTCGCCGCGGGGCGGTCCTGGAGCTCTCTCCATTCTTCTTCTGCCGTTCGCTCCCCTTGGGTTGCACTCCGAGAAAACCTCGCTAAATCTTCTCCTGGGAGCTTGGCAGACTCCTCCTGGGTCGCACTCCGAGGTAACCTCGCTAATGCGTCTCCTAGGAATTCAGATGGACCCACCTGGGTCGCGCCCCAAGATGACCTCGCTGATGCTTCTCCGGGCAGAAGCGGCACGGCGACCTGCAGGTGGCGGTCGAACGCCCTCAAGAATTCCGCTATCAGGCGCCCTTTCCTCTGGCACTCCATCAGCATGTCGCGGCCCACTTCCTTATCTGCTCGTTGCTGTCGGTGCCTGCCCGAGACGTGAAATTCATGTGCCAGTCCAATATCCATGCCCGAAGGATGTGGTCTCTGTGTCCTCTCGCTGTTATCTTCTGCAATTTGTTTGCCACTCCTCTCAATGCAGCGCGCCTCCGCACATGGGGTAAGGCCCCCGACGGTATCGCTATGTGGTCAATCTCGCTCGTCCTCATATTCTCGTCTCTCGAGCAGCAGCGAATTGGTCCACAATCGATGAAAATCGCGACTACTGACAATAAGCTGAGGGCGCAAAACAAAAACCCTGAAAGCGGCGCCATTATCGTTCTCCACCTTTTTGGCTACAGGACCCAATGCTGCTGCATGTTTGCCCGAACTGTCGACTTACCACCAGACCCATGCTGTCTGGCCTGTGCATTCCCAGTTGGCTGTCGATGCCCCCCTCCCATTATGATAGTAGATCTGCCACCCGTGACGTCACATGTCTCTTCCACCCACTTCACATGTTTCAATACGAATTCTGTTGTCTGCGTGCCCTCTATCTGGTGGCAAGTACGTCGCGAATATTATGACATCGTACGCTCTCGTACGCAGCCGAACTCCTGCCGTTATTCCTTGCAGTTGAGCAAGTGTTGTGTACTGCGCGTGGAAGGCCTTGTCTTTCATCATCTCGTTGGACATCAAAAGCGTCTTACCACATGACTGGTTGATTAATGTTCCCTTCTTTGCCAAAAACTGCAAAGCCGTTCGAATTGTATATATGGTGTGCCTTCTTCATCGGCTCTGGACCAGCCCACGGATGTCCCTGTCAGCACAGCCACATCCCACTCTCGTAGTGCACTGCTAATTGCTTCCTGTCTGTCCGTGGTATTCGTTGCCAACGGCTTGTAGGATACCAGTTTCCTCAATGCACATATCGAGGGCACTGCAACCGCCATACATCTGCCATGCCCCCCAGGCTCCCTCTCTGGCCCGTGCGATTGCTGGGCGGTCGTCGTGTGAGAGAGTTTCAGCAATATCCTCTCTCCGCCGGTTCTCAAAATGCCTGAGCCTCCAACACCGACTAGTACGAGGAGGGAGGAGGAGGAGGAGGAGGAGGAGGAGGAGGAGGAAGAGGAGGAGGAGGAGGAGGAGGAGCGCACGTAGCGTTGGCGAGCCACTGCGAAGAGCAGCGCGAGCAGCATGCCGCGCCCGGGCCAGAAAGGCTTGCGACGCGACCTCGTGCTGGGCAAGGATGGGCCGAAGCTTGCGGTAAATGCGGAATGTTAAAATACGCCAATGGATCCTCAGACGGCCGTTCACCACGCCCTCGTAATTAGTCGGACTCACCCCCCAAACCAAGTCGAACCAGCGGGTCGAGGGAAAGGAACGAGGGGTGGATCTCAGCCGCCTTCCAAAGAGGCTCGCATAAGCGGTGGTGGGAAATGGCATCAGGTCCGTCAAACCCGAACCTGCACCGACTCTTTGCAATGATCTTCACTGTGCTACTTGTGACCCACGCGTCCCACGCGCCTGATATCGTCTGTATGTGAGGCCACGCTCTCGATGGGGCCTGGATGGCAAGGACACCTCAAGGCGCATCCATCGGAGGCCAATCTCATGCATGGGTGGGAGAGAAATAACAGGGAACCGAATGGAGAAAACACGAGCACTGAGGGAGGGAATGGAGTCGGGAATAATTTGGATCTGCGGGGCGGCCTCTTCATTTCAATCGCCGGCTTGGCCTCGCGGATCGTGTCGGCACGAACTCTGCGAAGCGGGGGGGGGTTAAGGAAGGGAGAGGAGAAAAGGGGTCCAAGCCGCCAGAGGTCGGAGGGGACGAAGGAGGAGAAGTACTGGGCGATCGAAACAGGGAGGCGCCGGCACGGGGTTGCCCATTGGCCGCCGGCCGCTCGCCTGATCGCACCCTCGGAGAACGCGCGTGCCTGCAGGCCACCATCTGCTCTCTCCCAGCATTGGAAAGACCTGCCGCTGGCTCGCCAAGCACGCGCGACGCCCCAAATCATCATTGGTTCTGGCGCCCCCAGCCATCGAAGGGAGCGAAGCCCTGGCAGACGAAAAGATGAAAAGATGAATGGGGAGACGGAGGAGCTTGTGTAGAGCGCGAGGTCATCGCTGCAGCACGCGCGAGGGGATGGGACAGAAGTGGGCGATGAAGGAACGACATGAGAGAATTAGCGTGCAGCACAGCCTCACGCATGCATCAGTCGGGGCACGAGTGGCAACGACCTTTCGGCAACGTGATCACAACTTCGGGCCTCCAGGAGTGTATTGGCCAGTGAGCTCGACCACACGTCCAAACTGGATAGCTAAGTTTCGGCAAAAACTACACATTTCAAAGGCGGCCCATTATGGTGCAATGCTTCGCCTTCTTCCGCGAAGCTCAGACGTTTGCTCAGCATCAAGAATGCCCCCAAGCGGGACCAGGCAGCTTCTCGAGCCGGAGGTCGAAAGATCGAGCGCGGCTGATGCTTTGAAGGGGGGAGAAGCAAAGGAAGGGAGACGAGGTCAGGGAAGGTGGCCCCGGCGTCGTCGGCACGCGCACCAGCAGTGAGCTCGAGAGGAGGAAAGGGGAGAACGCGCAGGAGCCGCTTCTCGCGCGGCGAGCCGCCAGGGAGGGCTGGAAAGGCGCTGGGAAGCGTTGTCTACCCCAGCGGCGGACGCAATGCGCCTGCAACATGGATCCATGCTAAGGGTCCACAGGGCACCGCTCAATGGGCATCCTTGCGCCCCCCCACTTTCGCAATCTAGAAAAACGCATCCCTTGGCCGACTTTGAGGTGCCCCACTGAGTCTGAGCCGAGGGCCTCGATCGCAAACACGTACTTGTTGAAGATGGTGATGATGAGGTTGCTGATGATGATGCTGATGATGCTGATGATGATGCTGCTGCTGATGATGGTGATGATGGTGATGATGATGCTGCTGATGATGATGATGATGATGATGGCGACGGTGTTCGTGATGGTGATGGTGACGGTGATGACAACGGTGGTGATGGTGGTGGTGATGGTGATGGTGATGGTGATAGTTATGATGGTAATGGTGATTTGATGCTGCTAGTGACGATGGTGATGATGGTGCTGATGATGATGATGATGATGATGATGATGATGATGATGATGATGATGCCGCTGCTGCTGCTGATGATTATGCTGGTGACTCTGTTGATGCTAATGATGATGCTGATGATGATATTGCGTTGAGTAGGGAGGGTCATCCAATCTCATTTGGCAGCCAGAAGCGCTGCAGCGTAGGGAGCCGCTTTGGCACAGGCACGTGGCGAAGCCCAAGATCGCAGCGCCTATGTTTAATGGCATAGTACACGCCGTACATGATATAAACTTGGGTGATCCACTCCGCATCCAACTCATGAGGCGGTCGCTCTAAAGGGCCCCGCACAGCACGCAGAAGATGCTGCCGGATTGCGTCCAAGAGTGCGTCGCACTGCGCGTAGTGCGACACGGTGTCCATTGCACCACATCCAAAGCAACACGGTCGAATTATATCTTCGTGCAGTCTATGCGTGGTGGTCCAGGCCCCAACGAAGGTTTTCAGCACATCGCGCCCGCGACCCGGTGAGGGCGGGAGCGGAAGTCGGAGAAGAGAGAGTCAAAGGAGACAGAGGGAAGAAGGGAAGAATGAGGGAAAACTCGTGATGTCCAAAACACAGAGAAGAAGGGAATAATGAGGGAATAGCGGAGCGCCAGAGAGGCCGTCCAACACCTCTGCTCTGGAACCTCCGGGAAGGAGCTTCCGAAGGAGCTTCTGGAGAGCTTGACACCACATGTATTGGGAAACAAATGGGAAAGGCCTTCCGGGACACGCTGCAAGTTCAGGCAGGGCGCAGCGGCGCTCCTTGCCGGAAGACGGAACGAGCTCCAGGGGCATCCTTGCCTACCGGCTTCAAATCTGAAACCCTCTCAGCCCTCTACGAGCTATCCGGGAACTTCACACATTCCCGTAGCCACAAGACAAGACAGCTTGGGCTGCTGAAGCGTATGGAGAGTAGCCGTGTACGCAGCTTTCGGCGCATAAGCCCCCCCTTTCGTCAAGTCATGTGTGACCGCTGCCGCCAATCGACTCTCCACCTGTCCAGAGCCGCTGATGGAGCTCATCGCCACCCGGCGCAGGTTCGAGCCAATCGCCGGAGCCAGCCAGTGCTCCTCCCAGGGCGTGCCACTGATAATGCGCACGGTTGGAATATTAGCATCTCCCCACTCGGCCATGTCGTTCCAGTGCTGCTTCCACTCGAGTGTATTCATCGCCGCGCGCCCCCGCGCTGCGAGGGCGGTTGCATAAGCAGACCTCGGCTGCACCATCCCGGCCTGAGCCACTTGCGCCCCAGCCGCAAACGACAGAGACGAGGGGGGAAGGTGGAGCACCTTATTCACAGCTGCAAGAACTACTCTGAACAGCTTTTCGGAATTGAGGCCCAAACTGACCCCTGCAGTAGCAGGCTTATGGGCGCAATGAATAGGAACCCTCTCAGCGGGCACCCCTGCAGCACCCCAGAGACGATCCAGAACATGAACTTTAGCCCGTGGCATCCGCGCCCCACTGCGCAGACGATGTTGATGATGATGAGGATGAGGAAGATGATGATGCTGATGATGGTGGTAGCGATAATGATGATGATAGCGGCAATGATGATGATCATGCTCACAATGGAGATGGTGACACTGATGGTGATGGTGATGATAGTTATGCTGTTAATGATGATGACGAATATGGTGGTAATGATGATGGTGAGGATGATTATTATGCTGGTGATGATGCTAACTACGATGATCGTAATGATGATGTTGGATCTGATGATGATGACGACAACGACGATGACGACGATGATGATGATGATTATGAAAATGATGATGATGATGATGATGATACTTATGGTGGTGGTGATGGTGATGGTGAGTATGATGATGGTAATGATGATGGTGATGATGATGACGACGACCAGGATGATGATGCTGATGATGATACTGATGACGATGAGGATGATGATGACTTTGGTGATGCTGAGAATGATGATGATGATGCAAAGTATGATGATGATGATTATGATGGTGATGCTAACTAAGATGAAGGTGATAATGGTGATGACGACGACCAGGATGGTGATGATAATGATGATGATGATACTGATCATGGTGATGATGTTGGTGATGATGGTGATGAGGATAACGACAACGACGACAACCACGACGACGATGACTATTATAGCGGTGATGATGATGATGATGATGATGATGATGATGATGGTGAGTCTGATGATGATGATGATGGCGATCATGGTGATTATGATGGTGGTGAGGATGATAACGTCGACGGCCAGCATGATGATGACTATGGTGGTAATGGTGATGATGACGATGATGATGATGATGATGCTGATAGTGAGGATTATGATGATGCCGATGCTGATGATGGTAATGATGAGATTAATGATGCTGATGATACTGTTGATGATGATGATGATGCCAATGATATTGTTCATGATGATGATAATGGCGACGACGATGAAGATGAAGATGAAGATGATGACGATGATGATGATGATGATGATGATAAGGATGATGATGTTGATGAGGATGATGATGATGATGACGATGATGATGGTGGTGATGATGATGCGGCTGACGATGACGATGATGATGACGATGACGATGGTGATGATGATGGTGGCAATGACGATGATGATGATGATGATGATGATGATGATGATGATGATGATGATGATGATGACGATGATGATGTTGATGATTGGCGGTCCTCCACCTCGTAGCCGAAAAACCACAGGATTGACCCAGGCATCTCGGAGTTCACGTCCTGGCGCTCCGTGCCCCCCGCGCGCGCGCGCCGGCACTCCGCGGGGCAACGCGTGGCCGTGATCAGCAGCAGCGAGGAGCGGCCGCGGCTGCCGTGCCAGAGCGTGCATAGACCGTGCGGCTTGGCAACGGAGCCACAGAGGAGAGAGAGAGAGAGAAGGGGGGGAGAACGCAGGCGACGCGTGGCCGTGATCAGCAGCAGCGAGGAGCGACCGTGGCTGCCATGCCAGAGCGTGCATGGACCGTGCGAAGGAGCCACAGAGGTACAGTCAACCCGTGTCATAAGGACGCACGATGATGATGCAAGGGTCTGGGAAGGCCATGGCGACATGTTTGCGAGCGGGGCGCGGCCAGCGAAAGTGTCCAAGGATGGGCCGAAGGGGAAGGATGCAAGGGTAGCCTTGTAAAGTCGCTCATCCTTATTATGCGGGTTGACTCTAGAGGGAGGGAGAGAGAGAGAGAGAGAGAGGGGGAACACAAAAAACGACGAGAGAGAGAGGGAGGGGGGGAGAGAGAGAGAGAAACAACAACAACAACAACAACAACAACAACAACAACAACAACAACAACAACAACAACAACAACAACAACAACAACAACAACAACAACAACAACAACAACAACAACACCAACAACAACAATCATTTTACCCGAACGCGTGGTGTTCTCCCCAGTGCCAGGGTTTTCATACGACACCAGGCAATACCCCCACTTCGTGGGGGGGCATTACAAGCTCTACCAAATATCCAAACGACTCTTCGCGACCACCCAAACCCAGCTTCCCGCCCTATGACGTTGGGGCACTTCACTTCGTGGCGTGCGGACGACCGTGGCTACTACACTGGCGTGGGGTACACACCCACAGAACTTGGTCACTTATTCGGGGCGCGCGTGTGCCAGCATCCTGCAATTGTGACATACAATACATGACACAGACAGACAGAGAGAGAGACAGAGAGCAGACAGAGAGAGAGACAGAGAGAGCGGAGTTGGTCACATTTTTGGGGCAAGTTCCTGAGATCGTCGTGTTTTTTGTTGGTCTTGCGCGCGCGAATGTCCACTTTACTTTTTTTTTTGCAAGGGAGTATTGAAATTTGATTATGTTAGAACAAGAAAAATTAGCTCGCGCGAGCTCATGTAACATAAATGTTGAAAAACCATTGGTTTTGTGGGAGTCGGACAGCGCGCGCGGGATGAAATTTGGACATTTTTTTTTTAAAAAAAACCATTGGGTTTTTGATGTTTTTATGTTGAAATCGCTACGAAACCTAAGGTTCTGGAAGGATTTCGTCTTGCGCGCGCGAATGTCCACTTTACCTTATTTTTTGCAAGGGATTATTGAAATTTGATTATGTTAGAACAAGAAAAAGTAGCTCGCGCGAGCTCATGTAACATAAATGTTGAAAAACCATTTGTTTCGTGGGATTCGGACAGCGCGCGCGGAAGGACATTTTGACAATTTTTTCTTAAAAAACCATTGGGTTTTTGATGTTTTTATGTTAAAATCGCTACGAAACCTAAGGTTTTGGAAGGATTTCGTCTTGCGCGCACGAATGTCCACTTTACCTTATTTTTTTGCAAGGGATTCTTGCAATTTGATCAAGTAAAAACAAGAATTTTAATTTTTTCTTTGTTTTTGCAAGGGGACAGCGTGGGGGGAACAAAACACGCGGCCCCCCCCCCACCCCCCCCACAGGATCCGGACTTATTCCACTTTTCTGAAGCTTTCGCGAAAAAAGATGAAACTGTAGCTGCGGCCTAGGCGCGGCGCAGAGGTTCGCGCACCAGGGGTCCCAACAATATACTTCTTTAGGAAGGAATAATATTCAAACAACAATCAACACACACCACAACAACAACACAAACCATTTTTTAAGGCTGTACGCTCTTTATTGCCCGCGGCGGAGCATTAAACACGTATTACCCTACAACCCTTACTGCACGGCCTTCGTCTTCGATCACGCCCCTTTCGGTGCGGATTTTGGGATTTTTTCTCTTTGTGGGGGCGGCGGGCTTAGGACGTACGGGCCAAACGGATCGGCGGGCAAGCCGCGTGGGGACAATCCTCAGGGGCGAAGTGCCCTCTGCCCGCTTTGAATTGGCGCGGGCCTGCAAGAGGAGGAGGGGAAGAACGAGGGAGAGTGGGAGGAAGGGGAGGGGGAAGGACAAAGGAAGAGGGAAGATACCACGTTGTGAAGGCGTCCTTGGCGCGCGCGTGGTTCCTGAGCGCCGAAACGCAATTCCAGAATAATTTGTGAGGACGTCGCACGCGAAAGCGCAGTCCTGAGTATGTGAGGAAATCTCGGGCGGGAGCGGGGGCCCTGACTAAGTTGCGAGGAAATCTCAAGCGGGAGCGCCGTTCCTGAGCAAATTGCACGGAAGTCTCAGGCGGGAGCGGGGGTCCTCACTAAATTGCGAGGAAGTCTCACGCGGGAGCGCCGTTCCTGAGTCAATTGCGCGGAAAGTCAAGCAGGAGCGGGGCATTGGGTTGGTATTCGAAGATAGTCTCAGGGTAGGACAGCATAGACTCCGTATCTTGCACGGAAGTCTCAGGCGGAGCGGGGGTCTTGATTACATTGCGAGGAAGTCTCAGGCGGGGTACATTAGCGCCTTTCCTGAGTAAATTGCGCGGAAGTCTCAGGCGGGAGCGGGGGTCCTGAGTAAAAATCGAGGAAGTCTCTGGCGGGAGCCGTTGTTGTTGTAGCCGGGGGGGCAGGGGCACAGTTTGAGCAGGAAGACTTTCCTTGAGAAAAAACAACGTGCGAGCCCCGGGGGTGGCACTGGAAACGAAAAAATCAATGTGCACCGGTGGGGGGGGGATCAACAATAATTATTCTTCAAGAATGAGAGTTCAACAACAACAAGGATAGGGATCTTCCCTGGCCCCCGACGCTCGGGGGACGTGCGGAGCTCTCCTCCAGGGAGGGGCAGGAGTCGTCCCCGGCCCCCGGGGCCCCCCAACCCGCCCCCCCCCCCCCAACAACACAACAACAACAACGGACCGGTTCAAATAAAAAAAAGCCTTCTAGCTCTATTAAGACTTTACACCGGACTCGCTTCGCTTCCTTGCGTGCGCGCGTAAGCGAAGCGAGTCCTGGTGCCATCCCTAATAGGATCCTATTAGAGGTGGATCCATCCCTAATAGGATCCTACTAGAGGTGGATCCATCCCTACTAGGATCCTATTCGAGGCGGATCCATCCCTACTAGGATCCTATTTGAGGCGGATCCATCCCTAATAGGATCCTATTTGAGGTGGATCCATCCCTAATAAGATCGTATTAGAGGTGGATCCATCCCTAATAGATCCTATTAGAGGTGGATCCATCCCTAATAGGATCCTATTAGAAGTGGATCCATCCCTAATAGGATCCTATTAGAGGTGGATCCATCCCTAATAGGATCCTATTAGAGGTGGATCCACCCCTAATAGGATCCTATGAGGCGGATCCATCCCTACTAGGATCCTATTTGAGGCGGATCCATCCCTAATAGGATCCTATTAGAGGTGGATCCATCCCTAATAGGATCCTATTAGAGGTGGATCCATCCCTACTAGGATCCTATTAGAGGTGGATCCATCCCTAATAGGATCCTATTAGAGGTGGATCCATCCCTAATAGGATCCTATTAGAGGTGGATCCATCCCTACTAGGATCCTATTTGAGGCGGATCCATCCCTACTAGGATCCCATTTGAGGCGGATCCATCCCTAATAGGATCCTATTTAAGGTGGATCCATCCCTAATAGGATCCTATTTGAGGCGGATCCATCCCCAATAGGATCCTATTAGAAGTGGATCCATCCCTAATAGGATCCTAAGAGGTGGATCCATCCTATTAGAGGTGGATCCTAATAGTGAATCCCTAGGCATCTCTGGAATCTCTAAGAATCTCTGGAATCCCTAGGAATCTCTGGAATCCAAAAAATCTCTGGAATCCCTTGGAATCTGTGGAATCCCTGAGGAATCTCTGGAATCCCTAGGAATCTCTGGAAACCCTAGGAATCTCTGGAATCCCTGGGAATCTTTGGAATCCCTAGGAACCCCTGGAATCCCTAGGAATCTCTTGAATCCATAGGAATCTCTGGAACCCCAAGGAATCTCTGGAATCCCTAGGAATCCCTGGAATCCCTGTGAATCTCTGGAATCCCTAGGAATCTTTAGAATCCCTCGGAATCTCTGGAATCCATAGGAATCCCTGGAATCACTAGGAATCCCTGGCATCCCTAGGAATCTTTGGAACCTATAGGAATCTCTGGAATCCCTAGGAATCTCTGGAATCGCTAAGAATCTTTGGAATCGCTAAGAATCTCTGGAATCCCTAGGAATCCCTGGAATCCCTAGGAATCTCTGGAATCCCTAGGAATCTCTGGAATCCCTAGGAATCCTTGGAATCCCTAGGAATCTATGGAATCCCGAGGAATCTTTGGAATCCCTAGGAATCTCTGGAATCCCTAGGAATCTAAGGAATCACTGGGAATCTCTGGAAGCACTGGGAATCTCTGGAATCCCTAGGAATCTCTGGAACCCTCAGGAATCTCTGGGATCCATAGGAATCCATGGAATCCCTCCGAATCTTTGGAATCCCTAGGAATCTCTGGAATCCCAAAGAATCTCTGGAATCTCAGGAATCTCTGGAATCCCTATGAATCTATGGAATCCCTAGGAATCTTTGGAATCCCTAGGAATCTTAGGAATCCCTAGGAATCTCTGGAATCCCTGAGAATCTTTGGAATCCCGAGGAATCTCTGGAATCCCTAGGAATCTCTGGAATCCCCAGGAATCTATGGAATCCCTAGGGATCTCTGGACTCCCTAGGAATCTCTGGAATCCGTAGGAATCTCTGGAATCACTGGGAATCTCTGGAAGCACTGGGAATCTCTGGAACCCCTAGGAATCTCTGGAATCCCTAGGAATCTCTGGAATCCCCCGGAATCTCTGGAATCCCTCGGAGTCTCTGGAATCCCTAGGAATCTTTGGAATCCCTACGAATCTCTGGA